AGTCTGCATTGGAGCTGCGCTGTCCTTTCCAGCTCCATCTCCATCTCCCCCATCCTCATCCTTTCGTCTTGATCCTGACGGACTGCCATCCCGGCAGGTCCGTCACACCTGCGATCTAGTGGTGGTAAGAGAACCGACTGGATCTCAGTACTTTCGTGGATGGCTCCGTGCGTTTTATCTACACTCTCGTTTATTAGAAGGAGCTGCAAATATGTTAGACCAAGCTGGTGCAGGTAGTCTGACTGCTTTACCTGTTATCCAAACACAAGCTGGAGATGTATCTGCTTATATTCGCACAAATGTAATCTCCATTACGGATAGACAAAACTATTTGGAAACAGAACTGCTTTATCGTGGAATCCGACCTGCTATTAATGTAGGATTGTCTGTAACTTGTGTAGGTTCTGCAGCTCAATTGAAAACTATGAAGCAAGTGTGCAGCAGTCTTAAACGAGAGGGGTAACTTCAGTAGAGTCACAAAAACGAGTTATAATTGCACTATGCGGCAAGATACAGTTTGCAATTGCCCTGCGGGCACCCTACCTGTCCAGAAAGCTGAGTGGGTTGTATACATTGCCCCAACTGCAATTTGAAACTGTATCTTGGCCCATACTCCCGGGTAGTTTCCCCTAAACTAGAACTTGCACACTATAGTGAAGTGAGCTTCACCTGCTGGAAATCGGGTCCACTATCCCGGAGTAATTACAACATAGGAATGAACTGACTGGGAGCATTACCCTGCTTCCCTTATGATCTGAGAAACTTATGCAGAAAAACCTCTCAGCCCAAAGGGCCGCCTGAATAAAAGTGGGCACCTATTTAACTGCAAAGTAGACATGGTAGGACTCTGGTGCAATTTGGTTGGTCTTCGGGATTGGAGTAATGATTAACAGAGACGGTTGGGGGCATTCAAATTCCATTGTCAGAGGTGAAATTCTTGGAACTACTGATGAAGGGGAAAAAAAAAAGAAATAAAAGAGGGGCAAGTACGTTGGAGTCACACCCGGCGTTCAGAATAGGCAATTTTAGCAGATCCCGAAATGGAGCAAAAAAGGCGACCCTAAATCTGCCAATTGCCAGACTGGTGCAGTTTCATACCCCCACTAAACTTACACATTTCGAAACTCACATCATGACATCGGCGCCACTTTGTCTTTCATTGCCTATTTCAAACTAAAAGTGTGCCACAGCCACAGTTTACCCAAAAAAGAAACAGAACTGCGAAGTAGAATGGATGAAGATATGAGCTACTGAGTTTAAGTTGGTTTTGAAGTAACAGCATGGAAAACTGGTGGAGATAAGTTGAGGTAGTAACTCCATCTGAGAAAACCTACCATCCCGAATAGTACGCCTCTCCTGAGGCTCACTGAGACTAACCTGGAGCTAAACGCACTGAAAGCAGACAATCCACATACTGTCTAGTAGGCCTTCCAATCCCTGCCTCACTCCACTTGTCCTCAGACCAAGACTCAACCAGGCCTCACGCCCCACGGCGAAGTTACATGGCAGCATGACCGACCCCAGCTCCAGCCAGCGCCGCCCTGCCGGAAGTCACGGATGATCACTGGAATTGCCTTCCACCTTCCATAACTCTCAAGATCTCTCTACCAGGCCTCATGCCCCCGCCTAACTCAGGTCACAGGGCAGCATGACCAGACCCCAGTGCCGGCCAGCGTCGTTCTGGCATTGGCCCTCCTTGAACTCAGACGTGACAGCTCAGCATGACATTGGATAGACCACCACACACCATCAAGGTCGCTCAACCTTCAGTTTGACTCCTACGGGAAGTCTTCGAGAGTTATTGGAATAAGTGTATGCCCACCCTAACCCAGCTGACACCTTCTGCCTACACAGCCATATTCAAGCAAAGAAACCGGATCTCTTTACCAGGCCTCACACCCCCAACGGCTGGATTACAGAGTTGCACCGCCTCACTCCAGCTCCGGCCAGCGTTGCTGCGGCTTCGTCCCCTGTTAGCCACTGAAACTGTCCCCCAAAACAGTCCCCCAGATCTCTCTACCAGGCCTGACCCCCCCAATAGACTAGGTTACACTGTTACGACACCTTGCTTAGCCAGGGCCTCTGACCCTGAGACCCGAATTTGGGGTCTGAATCGTGGAAGGCCTTTCATAGCACCCTGTTCTAGTTTTATTTGGTCCGGTAGGACCAGAGGTGGAGCTGCTGATTCAGTTCGGTGGTCTGGATGTCGGGTTGGGACCCAGACCATGCGTTTTTACTCTGTGCACTAGACAAAGGTTTCAAGCCTCCTTCTTTGGCCATGGGATCCAGTTTCGATCTGACGGACCAGGATTCCTACCAGCTCCAACATTCCATCTGATTCCATCATCTGATTCCATCTGGAGTTTCAAACTCATCATATGTTGATTAACATTAACATGGGCTGAGTGACCCCTCTTCGTCCTCGTCCACCTCTTCCACCCATCCTCTCCAGTCTTCTTCTACAGAACAAGATTTTCTATCAAATTGTAAATGGCTGCCATCTTTTCGGTATTTAGTGCCTTTTTAATGTTTCCACTACAATGGGCTTCACTCTGCAATCTGCCGCACTTCAAGACAACTTCTTTCATCGGACCGTATCTGGACAAGAGGGAGAGATTGATTCCTTTTCTTCTTCTCCTCCTCTCCATATCGCCGTCTCATCTCTAGTTTCCAAAAGAGAGAATCATAGACTTGGCGACTGTTTTAGAGAGACTGCTCCCATATTTGGACTGGATGTTGTATTGGGAAATGAGGGTGGGATAAGAGAGAGACTATTAAGGTTTTGGCTACTGTGTCTGGAATCAATCACAGAAGTGCTATGTCGAATCGTTATAGCATCCAGCGTCATCTGCATCCAATCACTGAGGTCTCTTGATAAAGAAAGCCGGAGATTCGCATCCAGTCATCAATAAAATAACAATTTAGTAGCCCTACTTGCAGTATGACCGCCCTAATCTACTTCCTACTACCTCTCTTTATGCTAGCCTCTACCACCTCACTTTCTGTCCATGTGTCACCCACTCAATTCTGCTCTAAGACTCTGTTCATACAGGCTTCCTCTGCGAACACCAAGTCAGAACCGCCAGTCCCCACTGCATTCCTTCTCACCTCCACACTCTGCCACTCAGCTTCCCTGCACCTAGCTATGGCTAGTGTTCACTATAGCCACCGCAGCTGTTCTCCTTCTTCGGGCACTGCCTTCCTGCTCACTGCACCAACACTGCTCACGCTTGCAGCAACCTGCCTGAATGTGCTATGCTTGATGGCCTCCAGACATTTGTCCTGGAGTGCTAACTTATAGGCTGGGCCTATGTGAATTTTTTTGAGTTTAGCTCCTGATAGAACCCCTTGTCGGTTGCCACTTAGGGCCGGCGTGAACTTTTCCAGGCCCACCTTCATTTAGGATGGCCTGGGCACGACCACAAACCAAATCTAGGCTACCGCCTCTTTTCTAAATCTCTCTCAATAACCAACACCCTTCAAAAAAGATGGACAAAAGAGGAGATTACAATCGCCGAAACTCAAATCTCTCCCCCTTGGCCGGCTATTTTCTGCACAAGACCAGTCAAACTTGCCAGCTTGTGATGACTGATAGCTTTCAGGCCAGTACTGGTGAATCACTGGTTAGCACAAAGGCGCAGTAAAGAAACCTCCCCACACCAATGATGGCAGAACCGCAAGACACCAGGAAACACGCGATGAGTCCACTCCCAGCGGGTTCGATCTCTCTCTCCAACAGTAAGGACACTCAGGCACTGAAGGGCTTAGGGTTCCACTGAAGTCGACAAGGAGGCAAGCCTCAGTCGGGCGGGAAGGGACATTACAAGATTCAGGGCCTTACTGAGCACTACAAGGAGTAGAAAAGGAGGACAGGGGCAAGCTTTTAAAAAAAAGAGATGGCTAGAGTTTGAGACTTTTGTAAGGGTCACAGAGTGACACAACAAGAGTGGCTGCCTGCCATAGCCACTGAGAGATATTGGTGGATACGCTGCTCATGCCGGGATAACCAGTAAGGAGAACGAGGGCATATTGCCGGCGGATTCGCTGTTTACAACTGGAGGAGACTCGGCGGTGGAGCATCCTTTAGGGGAGTATGGGGACAGAGTAAACAGGAGAAGGGTTGGCTCTCTCTCTCCTTCGTGGCTGCTTTACGTTAGAGGAACATATTTTCGACAGAGAAAGAAGAAAGTATCAGGAGGGAGCGGACAAGGGCAGTCGACACTACAGTGAAGCACCTCGTCTCTCCCTCCCATCCCTCGCCTGTCCTATTCTCTGCTCCCTTCTTCTGGAGTGGTTCCCCCCAGCCAAAAAAGGAAAGGCAAAAGAGACAGGAACCATAATTAAAGTTAATAAATAATTATAAATAATTATAAATATAAAAAAAGGAAGAAGTGGTGTTTGAATACTAACACTCCTTCAACTCACGGATTTCCATTTGATTGGGGAGACTTCATATCAATATGCCCCGCGTTATTCGTCATCAAAGGATCCACCGACAGGTAGACTCGATGATGATGTTTCGAGGGGCTATGAGACAGATGGCAACCAGGCAATTTCATACACCAATTAAACAAGTCATGCAAGGCAAACAGACACAAACTGCATTGACAAAAACTATTCAGCCAATGCCGGTCTCCTCAGAGGGGGAAGTCTTAACAGAAGAAGAGCGGGCTTCACAAAAAGTATTTCAGATCACTCTCAACTCTGCATTGGCCACAAAGCAACAGATCAACTCCTCTCCCATGGGCTTCCTTGTCTCCTCGAAAGTGGGGAGTGGTGGGGAGAGCAATAATCACCAATCCCAGACCATGGTGACTAATCCATTGTATGGGGAAGAGAGAGGAAGGGTAGAAACTAATCATACGATTACGAAAGGGACAAACAGTATGATACATACACTGGAAATCGATTCACAAGGTCACAACTCCGTAACTCTTTCTAATACAAATCTGCAAAGAACGATGCTATCCCAGTATGATTGGTGTTTTCCTTCACTACAGGAGGCAGTGGGGTGGAGCAAGGGAGAAAGGAAAGGAAAAGGAAGCGAAGGGAAAAGGGATAGGGAAGAGGGGGAAGAAGAGGAAGTGGGGGTAGAAGGGGAAAATGGATATATGGCCAAAGAGAGAAGAATCAGTGATGAGGGGGCCAAAGGCCAGGGTAAGATGGTATTAGGAAAAGAGCACCTACCCTCATCAGATAAAAGGACTGGCTCCCAACTACTTTCCTCTGTAATGCAAAATACCAGTATGAGGGGATCTCCTTCTTCATGGGTTGAAAAGACAAAAGGTCCTTTTCATAATAAAACACTAGAAATAAAAAGAACAAATCAACATGCCTCACCCCTTCAAATCCCCCTATCTAATTTGTCCTCAGCAAGAGTTTTTTTTTAATCTAAATTTATAAGCCCATCAGAAAACAGGGTGGTAGACAGCGGGGGAAAGAAGACGATGGTGAAAGCTTACCCACCCCAAATGTTAGCAGAACGAGACGCAGTTTATCAACGACACGCAAATAATTGGGTATTTCATGATGATGCAGCATTCAAATCAGTCAATGAGAAAATCAAATGGGTAAGTAGAAGATTGGCATTCTTCAAAGGAAGTCCAGAAGCTGCTCAAGAAGACTTCCTTATACAGCCTGTTTCATCGACAGTCTTTACCATCCTTAGTTTTCATGAAGGGGACAAAAGAATAATTGATGGATGGAGAAAATTGAGGTGCGATCGATCAGAAGTTCGGATATATCCATGGGCCCCTCAAAAACAGGGCCCGGATGAGCGACGTCGTCAGATGATGGAAGATTTCTATTAGGTGGAATTCCGTCATATCCCAATAGAAATTCAAGCCGCATTTATTCATAATTTTAGGGAGATCCATGATATTGTGGACTTCATCGATCCCCTCCCAGCTTTTGCAGCAAGAAGGGATGACTACCTAATGTTAACTATTAATCAGCCCTCAAATATGCCTTTTAACATGGACGATGTCATTCCTTATAGAGTAGGGGGGAAGGAATTTCACATTCACACAGCACACAAACTGTGTCCGTGGTGCTTCTGATGCAAAGCCTACGGTCACCTCAGTACAGATCAGACATGTGAACAAAACCCAACACGGAGACAGAGGGCGACAGGGAGGTTGATCAGAGATCCTTTTAAAAGTAATTTGTGGAGGACCGTGGATCAGGGACACGAGGGATGGGTATACATCGAGGGGGGAGGCAAGGGCGCAAAATCAAAAGGATGGACATGGGAAAAAGAGGGGGATCCAAATTGGGATTCAAAGCCCCCAGACAGTTGGACTCCTCCGGAATCAGTAGACAGGGTAGTAAACAAAAACACCTCCACCTCCTCCCCTTCGCCCTCTAAGTCTCAGTCCTTACCAAGTTCCTCACAGATGACAGCTTCAGCTAAATCGGATCAGGAAAAAGAAGGAAAAAATGCATCATCTACATCAGAACCAGATCCACAAAAATATGTAAATGAAGTTGAGTCCATCATCAACAACAAGAATTTGCCACCTCAGTCCACGAAGGGTCAAAATGATGAAAATCAGCAAGACAAAGACCTGAAAATGGAACAAGAATTGGACAATGAACAAGAAACCTCAATAGATCTACCCCTCTCAAGGAGAAGTGGAAAGAAAAAGAATAAAATAATAATAAGAAGAAGACTTCATCATCAGCAAAAATAGAGGCCCAAGTTAGGTACAAAAGGGGGAGCGTCGCAGGCATCACAGTCTGTGGAAACAACACAGTCTCAAAAGCAGGAGGGGGACCTCCAGCAGGATCTTTTTAGTGAAGCTTTCGGGCCTGCGCCTATGGACATTGACTCGTAACAGCCCGTAGAAGATAGTCCTATGACTGAGGTTCCCCCTTCAGGAGACGAAGAACTCATCACGGTGGAACACAAAATGATACAGCTGGCGGAATGGTTTCTCCAACAACTAAAAGARAAATATGGGGAAGYCRCTACTGAGTTCTGGGACGCCTCCTATGTACAGCTTATTAAYTTAATGAATGTYWGTCCTTCCTTGAAACAGGTATTGACCGATGGACTCCCACAAGGAGCTAAATGGACAATAGTCAGTCGTCGTATGTTCAAGGCAATAATGGACATGTTTCAACCCCCCACTCCTCCACCAGAGGAAAGTAAGGAGGAAAAGAGCATAGAGATGACAACAGCTTTGGTGCCCTCTCAACCGCAATATAAGGGATCTGTAGAAACAAGTTCAGAGGGTCAGCTTGTCATCGAGAGAGATAACAGAAAAGAAATACAAGGTAGTATAATCTATGTGGACAATAATGGTCAGGCGGCTCTTCAGTCTCCCTCCCTTACTGACAGCCAAGTGGAAGTTCCAGAGCAAGTAATAGACGGAGATACTAATGGACAGATAATATTATCACAAGTAATAACAATGAATGATATCACAATCAGCACTAATGACATGGAGGTTGAGAGCACCTGCCTACCCCCCTCGCAGGTTGACCAAGAAATGATTTACCAAGAGACGTCTGCACAAGAACAATCTCAGGAGGGGGGAGTGCAAAAAGAAGACACCCTGAAGGAAGTCATAACAAATAAAGAAAAAAAGGATATGATGACTTCGCAATCAACTCATGATGTTCAAACGTCTATCAACAAGCTCACATGGATGCGAGTCCAAGGATAATCCATAATGATGAGTCACACTCCTCTTCTATTATGACAAAACAAGAGGCAGGCAAAATGCAAAAAATGAGGAATGTGTTGGAAAGAGGACAGATGATAAGACCTCAACCTCCTAAGGGCAACCTCATCATACCAGTAAGGAAAAAAGGAGGGAAATGGGAGGTGGGTCTCTCACCAATAGGTCAAGACCAATATGGTGGTGTCACTCTGAGAGGATGGTCAACATATGTCGAATACCAAAGTGTTGGGGATCGTACGTTCAAACGGGATATGCGTGATTTCCTATTAAAACACTATGATCCTGGACCACAAACAACCCTTACAGAAACGGGTGACAAGGCTCATATGGCGAAAAGGGACACGTTTGTTCGCTTTGAGGAACAGAAAGAGGCAGGGTTGAGATGGTTTTCCCACGCAACTTTGTTTGATTTACAGAGTCTTAAGATTAAAGCAAATGTGGTGTGGTCGGCATCAGACATTCTTGCCTTTCTCAACATTTTGCTGCGAAGAGGCATCCTACAGACTGCTGTGGATTTGGACAACGGTTCTTGGATCCGTCTCTAAAAACACTAAAGAAGGTGGTTCTTTTATAATAAGATGAGGTAAAGATGAACGCAATACAAACTTATTATGGAAAGAACCCATCCTGGCAGCGTGCAATCAAAACAGCAGACTTGGATCTCAGATCATTAAATGTAAATGGCCTTGTTACGACAGACGCGATAAAAAGAAAAGCTATATTGGAACAATTGAAAGGTGTGGGAGGTAGATCGTGGCCTGACATCATATGCATACAGGAAACATATCTCACCAACTCTCCCATTCATATCAGGGCTCACAACACGATATGGTCGTTCGATAAGCTTAGTGCACCGACCACAAGAAACGGGTCAGCAGGTACAGCCATTTGGATACCACCAGACTCTAGAGCTCAAGTAGTCCAATGGGTGCCAGATAAAGAGCAGGGTCGATGGATATCTGTCATCTTTAGGATTGGACCAGATGTTATATGTGTGATTAATTTATATAGACCAAATGAAATTGAAGATAGAATCAGGTTTTTTCAAGATATAAGAAGTCAGATACCGGAAGGGATTCCTTTAGTAATGGCAGGGGACTTCAATGCAGCTCTGGATAGATGGTTGGATCGTTGGAAGATTCTCTCTCCATGTCCTCCTTATATAGAAGAGGACGGGAACATTATACAAACCTTGTGCAAAAATGAACGTCTGTTTGACTCGTACCGAAGAATATTCCCACGAGAAAGATTATTCACATACATACGAAATCAAGGTAATCGCCTTCAATCTAGATCTAGAATAGACCTCATACTCATGTCAGAAGATCTAGAGAGAGCTCTCATAGGGGCAGCAATTTTCCCACAAAGCCCATGGACTAGGGCATATCATATAATGTGTTCAGTCCTCCTGTCTCTAAAAAAAAAAACAGATCAGGGAAGGGGAGTATACAAACTAAATACATCTCTGTTATCATATGATATCTTTAAAAAGTATTTAGCATATGTATGGGAATATTGACACTCGACGTTAGAAAGACAGGATTCATATATCTCTTGGTTCAACAATGGGTTGTGTTTTCTTGCAAGAAAATGTAATGAATTTTCTAAATTACAAGCAAAAAACAGACATTTACAAGAAATACAAATTCAGGAACAAATCTTAAATTATGAATCTCAGGACCATCTAAATGACTTTTCACAAACTATCAATATCCAAGAACTCAGAAATCAACTCCTGTCGTTTGCGCAACATCGTTGGCAAGGACAATTAATAAGAGGCAAGTTGTCGAAATTCACAACAGAAGGACAGATGGACACATCCTTTTTTGCTATGGCTCGATCACGAGCGAAACGCTCCTCTATAAATATCCTATGTGACCACAACACTTCTCAGGATCCCACCGTACCAGTATCTTCAGCTGCAAGTCTGAAAGTTGCTTATAACTTTTTCAAAAACCTGTTCAAATCATCAAAAGACCCTACTCGGACTCTGGAAGATGACCAAACCACTCGCCTCTTCTTAGAACCATTGTTCCAGTCCATTACCGATGAACAATGTGAGAGTATTAAAAAACCTCTAACCAAAGATGAAATCTGGACGGCATTAATACAAATGGAGGAAGACAAGACCCCGGGGGTGGATGGTCTTCCCAAGGAATTTTGGGAAACCATGTGACCCATCCTTTCACCCGACTTAATGCAATACTTTAAAGAGGTTTGGGAGACTGGTGAAATGGGCGAGACAGTGAGTCAAGGAATACTCATGTTATTATATAAGAAGGGAGAAAAATCAAACATCAGAAACTATAGACCAATAACCTTACTAACGGTAGTATACAAATTGTTAGCAAAAGCTCTTGCAAACCGTATGATCCCAGTGATGGCCGATATAATCCATCCCTCTCAAACAGGTTTTATAAATGGTCGCCACATACAAGATAACATCCTATTGATTAATGAAATGGTTAA